AGAAAAAAGGGCAGTGCTGGACATGGTGGCTCACGCCTCTAATCCCAGCATTTTGGGAGGCCTAGGCAGGCAGATCACAAGGTCAGGAGATTGAGACCATTCTGGCTAAAATGGTGAAACCGTGTCTCTACTAAAAATACAAAACATTAGCTGGGCATGGAGGCATACACCTGTAGTCCCAGCTACTTGAGAGGCTGAGACAGGGGAATCGCTTCAACACAGGAAGCAGAGGTCGCAGTGAGTCAAGATCATGCCACTGCACTCCAGCCTGGGTGACACAGCGAGACTCTGTCTCAAAAAAAAAAAAAAAAAAAAAAAGAAAGAAAAGAAAAGAAAAATGGGCTACTTTCTCATTCTGGTAAGCCTATGTACAAAAAAAATAGTGAAAATAGTAAATGCCATAATTTATGGTGAAATATCAGTATTTTCTCCCTGAGTTGAAAGCAAGACAAAGATGTCCACTATCCATTCAACAATTAACTGGAGGTTCTAAAAGGTACAGTAGCATCAGGAAAATATAATAGGTTTAAAATTTGGAAAGAAATAAAACCTTCATTATTCACAGATGGCATTGTTCTGTACATAGAAAATGTAAAAGAATAAAATCAAGTCACTAGATATAATAAAAACCAATGGTATTTCTTTATTATTAATAGCAACAAATAATTAGAATATGAAATTTCAAATGTCATAAAAAGTTAAAAAATCAAATACTTAGGAATAAATCTAATCAAGATGTGCTAGAGCACTACACAAAAATTATAAAACATCACTGAGAGAAATTCAAGACTGCAGTAAATGGAGAGAATATTCTTTCAATGGAATCTAAGACATTATTAAGAGACATTATAGTTAATTCTCTCAGAATGATCATAGCAATCATATTTAAAATTCCACCACGTTAACAAATTTTTTTCTGAAATTGACAGACAATTGTTTTAAGTATATGCAAATTGAAGATTTGGTAAAGCTAAGACAATCTTTAAGAAAAAGAACTAAGTTGGTAGATATACACCACTAAATATGAGATTTACTATAAAGGTAGAGTAATTAAAACTGTGTGGTATTGGAGCAATGACAGGCAAATACACCAACAACAGAGGACACAGAGGCCAGAAACAATCTGGAAATGGAAAATAGCTAGATTTACCACAGAAGAGCTCCTGTAAATCATTGTGGAAAGACTAGTGCTTTTAATAAATGCACTTCATAAATGTAGGGAAAATACAAACTTTGACTCTTACTCCATCCCACTTCAGAAAACGTTATTAAAGATAGTGAATCCAGTAAAAAATATCAGATATTAGCTTTACAGATTTAGAATAGGCCAAGGTGTTTTTGATTAGGATAAAAAAGCTCTAACCATAAAGAGTACATTCTTTAATTAGACATAATTAAATGTAAAATTTCTATTTCTCAAAAGACACTTAAGAGAGTGGAAAAGCAAAGTATAGATGTAGATTACATATTATATAATGTATAGTATAGGTTATATATAAAAATATACATCAATCATATAAATATATTAATATATAATATAGGTTATATATAAAAATATACATCAATAATATAAATATAT